AAAGCCTTTCTATGGCCGGCTCTTCTTGCTGCCAGGAGCGGCACGAGAGAAGCTCCAAACGCACTGAGATTTGGTCAGATGCTGAATGTTGGCTCATTATAGGGCTGAGGAATGGAGCAGAGAATTGGAAATAAAGCTGGGAATGGGGAATGTTGGCTCTGGATGCAGTTGGGATGGGGTCGGATTCCTCCTCAACGTGTGGGTTTAACCCCTTAACCCCTCAAAGTTGGCTTTGCTCCAGCACCTCTGTGAGCTCCACTGGTTTGGGTTTATTTAGGGAGATTTGGTGGGGCTCCTTTGGTAACACAGAATTGTGGCACAATTAGCAAAAGCTGCCAGAATGTCCCAAAAATGGGGTCAGAATTGAACTCCCCACCCCTGCAGCATCACCCACAGCTCCTGTGCCCAACACAACATGAAGGAAATGCAGATGGGGAACTGCCCTGTGTTGCATTCTCTGGTTTCATCATTTGCAAAGGGACTGGGCGGAAAAATCTCAGACTGCACACAGACCAGCAAATATCCCACTGAAACGCTGCGAGCAGACAGGAGGCGTTTGTCATCTGCCACCCCAGACCCAAAGCAGAATCACGCAGGCCCATCTTTTGCACCAAACCCAAATTCCCCACCCATTCCCAGCGCATTTTGCTCAGTTGTGCACAACCCCAAACTTGTCTTCTGCAAACACTGGGGCAAGACATTTGCTTTCTGGGAGGATGAGCAACAGCAGCACTGCAAAAGCGGCTGCGCCACCACGTCGGTGCTTTTCCCAAAAATCCCCTTTTTCCTCCCAAATTGAGCTCCCACATGGCACCGCCACAGTGCTCAGGGTCACCAGCCCAGGAATGGCACTGTGCAGTCCCCTCCTGCCCCCGGGAAGGGGCAGTATTTATAGCCCCACTCTCATCCTCGCCGCCCCGTTTAATTAAATTAGTACAAAGGAGGGTTTGTTGAGCGCTCCCGGCCTCGGCCAAGGCGGGCTGCAAACAGGAAACAAAGGGTTTAATTCTGTCTGGTTTCATGAAGGGTGCTGTGTGTCCCGGCCCAGTGCTGGAGTGGGGCCAAGCTGCTGCCCCTCTGGCTCACACCACAGCTGGGGGGGCAAAATGCACCACCGGGGGCAACATGGTGGGCTCTGCAAAGGGCTGTTTGCATTGGGAGCCGTGCAAAGGGGGGCTCTGCAACGAGGGCGCTGGAAACAGGGAGCTGCAAATGGGGGCTCTGCAAAAAACACTGATGCAAATGAGGCTTTGCAAGAAGGGCGTTTGCAAAAGGGGCGTTTGGAATTGAGCTTTAAAATGGGGAGCTTTGCAAAGCGGGTGTTTGTAATGGGGGCTTTACAAAGAGGGTGATGGAGAAGTGGCTTTGCAGAGGGAGCAGTGGAAAGGAGGTCTTTGCAAAAGGAGCTTCGCAATGGGGTTTGCAAAGTTGGGTGCTATAAAGAGGGCTTTGCAAAGGGGGTATTGGAAAAGGTACGCTGGAGTGATAGCTTTGCAAAGGGAATGTTTGCAATGGGGGCTTCATAAAGAAAGTTTGCAAGGGTGGCTTTGCTTAAGAGTTTGCAAAGTTGGTTGCTGTAAAGGGGGCTTTGCAAGGGGACATGCTGTAAGGGGGGTTTGTAAAAAGAACATTGTGAAAGGGGACTCTGAAAAGGGAGCATGACAAAGAGGGCTCTGCAAACCTCACCTGGGAGACTGCTCACCTCTGCCACCCCCCGCTCAGTGGTGTTGATGCAAAGGCTGGGGTGCTGGTTTGAGTGCTTCCTTTGATAAAAGGACTGAGTTCAAGAAGGAAAAAGAGGAAAATTCAACAAGCATGCTTGCAACTTGTAAAGGAGGAGCAGCTTGTTGCATGGCTGGTTTGGAAGTTGCAAGAGGAAGGCTTGCAGTGATGGAAAACCACTGCTTTGTTTTGCGAACTTTGTTTTTGCAGCAAAACTCAGTGCAGGAGTGGGGACAGAGGCACTACTGCTGGGTGTGCTGAGCCCTCCCCAGCTCGCTGCACGCATGCTGCAAGCAGCAGGACGGAGATGATGCTCTGAGCCCATGCAATTAATTCCAAGAGTAGAATGCACAATGCATGCAGAGATAACAGCCCGGGCCTCAGGGATGCTCCCAGCCCCAAAGGCAGATCCCAGCAGGAAGGGCTGCAGGGAATGACATGATCCCACCTTGAGATAACCTTGGCCAGCCCCCCCCCCCCCCGGGTGCTCAGCACTGAAGCAGCCCGCTTATTTTGCAGTGGGATTTGCAGTATCTGTCCTCCAGCTCTACTCTTTGGGATGCTTAAAAGTGGATAAATGGAGAACCAAAAACTGTGTGTTGGAGAGTTCTTGCACAAGGAGGATGATGAGAGTGAAGGACATAAACTGGGAAAGGTTTAGGATGGATTTAGGGAAGGCAGCCTAATGGGAGCCATTGATGGGGCTGAGGCAGAATGGGACATAAAAAGTGTCAGCACCTCTGGAACAGTGATGGGGTAAAGTCACCCCAAACTGGGATAGCATCTTTGAGGTCTAAAATCCCGAGGGACCCCCGAGGCAACGCTGCTGAGATCCCATCGCAGCGGGCTGAGCTCCAGCAGCTGATAGGGGTTTTAATTACCAGCTCATTAGGAGAAGTGCAGATAGCAACCCACCTGTGTAATGCCCTCCGAAGGGATGGCGACTCACATGCACCAAAGGTCCCGGTTCTCGATTTTCTGCTCCCAAATCAATCTCCCACTCTTTCCCTAACAGACAAGGATCACAACTTCTGAGCAAATGCATTCTGACCTTTCTGAGGGCTTTGTCAAAACGGGATCTCCTTGAGACTGAGATGTTTTAGCTTGTTGGATGGAGCTGACAGAGTGGCCAATTTCACACTGCCGCATCAGGGCTGCAGGATGCCAGGGAGGCAAACACTAAAACCCCACAATGTGCCAGAAAGTCAATTTTGTGGATGGGCGAGGAAAAAATGTAAAGCTTGAAGCGAGAAAAATATGAATTCCCCACCCGTGGGCAGTGCTGGATCACAGATGGGCACAAAGCAGGGCGCTGCGGACGAAGGGCTCCGGCACACAGCACTGCAGTGGGAATTGGATGGGATGAAGCAGTGCTGCCCTAATGCGGCCCTGCAAGCTGGGAGCGCTGCTTCCAACCACATTAAGGGCTCTGCAAACCTATAAAGCGCCTTCCAGCAAAGGGAGGCATCCAAACCCACTGGCCCAACAGTACGGGACAACGTGCAGCAATAGTAACAACACCTTCCAATTCTGGGGAGGATTTCAGGTCAGCTTCGTGAGCCCGGGCGATGCGATTTTAATGCCCCAAATCCTGGTTTTGAAAGCAAAATAAAACACACTGCCTGCAACGCTTCCAACCCCGCCTCGGATTTTCGGATATCCACATCGTGTCCATTAACCCCCGTCCTGCCCCGCTGCCATTCCTCACTGCGCTCCAACAGCTTTATGGAGGGTACAAAGGCAGACATTGTGGCCGAGGGACGCAGAACAGAGCCGGCGCGCGCCGAAAAAATGTGGTTTTGGTTATAACTATTTTCATAGTTTTTGCAACACCTTATTAAAGTTGAAAGCTACACACAGAACGGAGCTGGTGGCACTTTCCTGAGGCGCTCCAATCATATTGCACTGCAGCTGCCCTCCCGAATTTGGGAAGGGTTGGGATGCAGGCTGGGATGGGATTTGGGACGTGGGGTTACAGCTTCCTGGTGGGATGCAGGGATTTGGGTCGAGGGGATCTGCAGCCCTTCCCCTGCAGTCCCACTGCCTGTTGCTGCACGATGCCTACCTGGTGCTGCAGGATGCTAACAGGCAGGGCTGTAGCTGGGATCAATTCTCAGTGTGACCCCAGAATTCCCAGTTGGGGCGATTTCGCTCCCACACTCACAGAAGGGTCGTGAGCGTCGGCCCGGCGCTGCTGCCAGCATCTGCATCTCGTTAGCAGCGCCGCATCGCTCCAGCAGTGATGACCAAAAAGGCATCTTTGCCCTTTTTTTTTTTTAATTGAAAAAAAATCCCTGCTGCGCCAGACACAGCCCTGCACCTCGCCGCACTCACAGAGCGAACCAACACCAATTTAAGTTTATCAGCACACGCTGGAGCCCAACACGAGGTTATTGGCAGAGGAGGGGAGGGGGGAGCGCGGAGCCAAGGCCGAATTCCCGTCATATTGACACAGCTGTGGGGCCGTCCCACTCCAGCTGTGCTTTGGGGCCGTCCCGTGGGATTCTGCCCGGGATTTTCCACCTGGAGCATCCCCCGGCGCTGCATCCCTGCGAGGATTAAACCCGCCTCCCCCCAGCGCTGCCGTTGAGGCAGAATCTTCACATTCTGGGCTAACGATGGCACAAAATATTTTTTTTCTAATTAGCGGCCGTTTGTTCTTAACAGGATTCCAATCGCAATTCTCATTAGGGGAAAAGCTGCTCCGCGCTCAGCCCCCTCTGTGAGACGTTCCCTACAACAGCTGCCAGTGGGGACATGAGACGGCTGCAAGTCAACCCCAACCCCAGAGCTTAACCCCAAAGCACCACCAAAAAAGCAGGAATTGGACTCAAAAAGTGCAATCAGAGAGCAGAAAGCAGCAGCTCTCCAACGAAATCTATGATACCAAAATGTTTTCTCCCCCAGAGAGCACCAATCTTTTGGGTTTTCTGCACAGCAGAACTTTGGAAAACTATGGGAAAATGCATGTTGTTTGTGCTTAGTACTTCTACAAGGGAAGAAATAGCAAAACCGCAGCACAGAGATCCAGGAGAGCTCTCAGCCCCAAAAACCCAAACTTGGGCATTTTCAATCAGTTTCCCACTGCAGCGCCACTTTGAGCCCCATATATTTTTACACCGTGCTTTTATGCACCGCCTCCAGCCTCCCCATCCACCCCGGGATGGGGAATCCCACCCCAACCTCTGTCACAAAATACTCTCAGCCACAGTGCCGCAGGACTACAGGAAAATCCTGGGGGAAGCCAACCCCAGGGCGCCGCACGGCGCTCCGCTCACCTACACCTGCGCATCGGCCGTGGCTGGGGGACGGACGCTGAATTCCTGCAGATCTCCTGGGGTTGAGACGGGAGGCGCAGGCCGGCGGCGGGCAGGGACTGCTCAGCCATCAGAAAGTTCCCTGGGAAAACAAAAAACTGCAAAGTGAGGAGGTCTGGTCAGAGCTGAAGCTTCTAAGCCAGCAATACTGCAACAGGAATGCAGATATTAATGCTGAAACGTGGACTGAAGTGTGACCGAAAATTAAAATGTGAATTAAAATGTGAATTAAAATGTGGTTTGGGTGCAACAGCAGAGAAACGCAGGGTCCGTCCCTCGCTGCTGCCTGCACTGCTGCTCCCCCCACCCATAATTAGATGTGGTCAATTAACTTTTGCCCCTAATAACAGGGGAAACCTCAGCAGGAGGAGTTTGGTAAATAGAGGGTGGGAGGAAAATGGGGGGAATCCTGATGCCTCACTCCACCCACCCCAAAGGGCTGGAATGTGCCCCTCCTATGGGCATTACTTAGGTTTTGTGCATCAATCAGCCCAAAAACATTCCCAAAATGGGGATTTTTGTGTTTTCTTTAAAAAGGGGCTGAGAAATAAAACCCAAAACTTGGGGAAGCACATCAGGGAAAGTTTCAATGAAGCGAGGATGATAAATGATAAAAACCCCAAAAGGGGCTGGGAGCCCCAGTCTACATCCCCAGACATCTGTTACGGGGCCAATATCCAAACAAAGAGCAGAGACACAAACCTTGGGGAACGGAGTGGGCGTGCAGGGGGCAAAAAGATGCGAAAACGCTGTGTTTCACCCTTTCAGCCCTGGGCTGGTGGTTGGCACTGAGCAGGGTGTATGCTTTCGGGGTGGTGCTCCCCAGCCCTATATGTTACTCTGAGGGCACACTCCAAGCGCACTGCCATGGGATGGAGGGATTGCAACGGGTTTGGGGGATGGCAAACAGCCGGGGTGTGTTGCAAAGAGCTGAGGGGTTGCAGTGGACCAGGGGGAATTCCAATGGGTCGAGGTGCCTGCATGCAGCTGGAGTGCATTTGAATGGGACGGGGTAGGGGGGTTGCAAGCAGCAAGGATGCACTGCAGAGGACTGGGGGGCTGCAGGCGGCTGAGTGCGTGGCAAAAGACAGCGGTCTGCAACGGGTCAGAGGAACTGTAAGTGACTGGGGGGCATTGTAATGGGCCAGTATTGAAACGGCTTTGGGGGACTGCAGGTTGCTGGGATGCACTGCAGTGAGCAGGGAGGAGATTGCAAGAAACTGGGGGGCTGCACGCAGCTGGGTGTAACGCAGTGGGCCGCTGGGTATCGCAAGCAGCCGGGGTGCGCTGCAACGGGCCGAGGGGGCTGCGGGCTGCCAGGATGCACTGCAAAGAACCGGGGGACTGCAACGGGTCAAGGCAACTGCATGCAGCTGGAGCGCATCGCAACGGGATGGGGCGCAACGCAGCCCCCCTTGGGGGTTGCAACGGGCCGGGGGAAGATCGCAGCGGGCTGCGGGGACCGCGAGCAGCCGGGGTGCATTGCACGAGGCTGGGGGGCTGCAACGGGCCGGGCTGGGGCACACAAACCGCAGGAGGGATTACGAGGCCCCCCCAGGGTTGCGACCGCCGGGAGGAACCGTGCCGAGCCGGAGCGCACCGCGGCTCCCCGGGTAACGGCCACACCGCCGCGAGCACCGCACGCGGCCGGAGAGCACCGCGCGGCCGCATAGCGCTGCAATGACCGGGGAAGGGGGAAGGGAAAGGGAGGGAGGAGGGGGGGGGGGGGGGGCACATTCCGGTCCCCCGCCGCTATGCACCGCCGCCGGGAGCCGCGCACCGGGAGAGGCGGAGAGGAACGGCGCCGCGAGCGCCGCAGCGGAACGCCAAGTTACTTCCCGCACCGGAGCGCCGACGGGAGGAGGGCGCGGAGGAGCCGCCCGCCGCCGCTCGCCGCACGTGCCCCGGCGCCCGGGGCCGCTTTGTCCGCTCGGCTCCGCCCGCCCCCGCGCGGCGGCCCCGCCGCTGAGTGACAGCGCCTACCTGCCGCCAATCTTCATCACACCGGCACCGGCCTGACAGCGCGCCGCCGCTGCCGCCCGCCCGGCCCCGCCGCGCAG